GCCACACGGATGCGGCGGCGGACAAGTCCACCCGTGATCCTCTCTCTCCCCCGTTCCTCTCTCTCGCTCTCGTGTTTTCTCTCTGTGTTTCTTGTGTCTGATCCGATCCAAATGAAAAGCCCCTCCTTCACGCATTGCACTATCATCTTATTTATATGCCAAGAAATGGAGCCCACCAAGGAAAGAAAATATACAATATTTTCTCTTTTCAACCACATATTGCACGATCTAGCTTTGCAATTTCTTTCCTCCTCTCCCCTCTCGCACACATCTTCTTTTATATTTGTTTTGTCTTCTTCACTCCCCAAATCAGAATATTGTCCGTATTTCAGCCAATATTCCACGCCTAAACCGACAAGATTACGCCCTTCAAGACTCGGAAAAGAATCTCTCTCTTTTTTATCGATTCTTAATCAAGAATTATGCACCAAATATATGGCAAACATATAATATACACACAATCAAGAATATAACCTTTTGCACGATTTATATGTTGCTCTTGATCGCATGTCCCTAGATCGTGAACTTACGAAAATTCTTTCTAAGTGTAGGACCCCTCGCGCAAAAATAAATGGGCTAGGCCAAAATCTTTAATCCACGCGAGTTTAGTCCAATTTCCATTGAGTTCACAACCTCTGCACTTGAGTCCATCCGCCGCCCAATGCAAATGCAACTATGTGAGCCTAAATACAAATTCAAATGCTTCTAATCTATATGCTAATTTTTTGTCTAGGGACTGGGATCGATCCCTAATTTTTATGCAACGAACGACTGACTGGATTGTCAAAATTTAGGTGTCAACACCACCTTCTCCATCTCTCATCAGCTCCTTGCATCTCTCTCCTTTTCTCCCCTCTCTCTTTGCCGCTCCTATGCACCTCTACCTTCACCCGCCAAACCTTGCCCTTCGAGCTCAAGGCATGCACTGCTCGAGTTGAGGTCGTTCAACCAGAATCCTTTTGGCTATTTACCAGGCGTTCCAAGGTCCAAGAGAATGTAATGCATATGGAGGTGCTTTGTGATTGGGCATTCTCCAATTGCGACTCTATTGGTGACCTCCATGCTGAGAGTTTAATTTTGGTTGTTAGAATAGCAATTGTACATTATTTATATGGATGTATCATTCTTGGTCTTAAAATTGATTCGGTAATCGGTTGCAAAGCCACGAAGAATGACATCGTTTCCTAAAAAGAAAGGGGAAAAATTTTTGAATGACGGAGGAGGTGGGGGCAACAAGGCCGGGGAGGTGATCGTAGGGTTGGAAGTTTGGGTGTTGAAGCGAGGACTGAAAGGGCGGGGTCGGCTATGGCGGAGAGGGTAGCAGCAACAACGAGTGATGCGGGACAACGGTGGAGGTGGAGGGTGGTCTCGCCGTTGTGAATCAGTGGAGGACGGATCTAGTGTTGTGCATCGCTAGGAAGTACATGGAGTGCAAGACCGAGAATGTTGTCCGGCTTTCACCAACTGCTTCATGCACCGTTTTTGCTCTCTCTCTCTTGAGTAACAATCCCCGAAAAAAACACCCATTTTCTCGTCCATATTTTTCTTATTCTCCTCTCTTCGTCGGTTTTCATTAGATTTTATCAATCTACTTCCTCCATCAATGTCACCGGCAATTTTAGTGAGTGGGCTCAACATTGGCTCACAGATATAGTCTTGTTGATCACGTACTTTAAAACAAGGAAAGGGTCCCTCCATGGCCATTAGAAGAATGAAATAAAGCGTGAGATTTTGTGGGAACATTGGCAAGTGTTCAAAAAGTTTTAACTATTAGATGAATGTGTTATTTAGTATTTAAATATTCTAACACTCTCCTCACACGTAGGCTAGACTTTTGCATTAGCTTAAGGCGTGGAAATATGTGATTAAGGAGGAAGATAAGGGTTTAAAAAGATTTAAATTGAGGACTCCTACTCAGATCCAAGATAAGAATAATGCGGAAGAGAAATTGTGGAACTTCTATGTATTGGATGTATATTGAAGAAGAATACATGAGCCTATTTATAGGCTTTATTATATGAAAATATAAGATAATATATTAATTAAGATATGCACAATTAAAGGAAAATATACATGCAATTTTGAGAGATATAGGGAATCACCAGAAATATGTCCTAATCATCTCTAATATAGAAAAATATCCTAATTATCTATAACATAAATAACACAATTGCCTGCAGAACGATCAATTCGAATAAAAAATATATATCTTAGAAATCCAATTGCTCAAAGAAAAAATAATTCAGATACCTGATTGAAAATTTCGGAATAGTTCAAAGACCCCCAATGCTTTTATCCCAAAAGAAAGAGCGAGCTTCTAAGAAGCTTTTCCCATTGTCCGTAAGCTTTGGCATCGTGCTAAAATCGTCTTCTGAGGTTTGTTTCTTGCTGTTGTTTTACGCATGAAGTGCTGAGACAAACGCAGGCTTGTCGTGGTATTTTGATGCCAAGTCCTATCATCCAAATTTTCCTCCTTGCTTTAATTTATTATCATACTTTCCTTTTTTGTCTTAGGAAAAAATCACCAAAAATTTCAAATTATATTCACTGTGACACATTTACTTCAAACTTTTTTTTGTAAAACCAAAAACTAGAAACTATGTCAATTGTAATACATTTACACTTCGTTACAATTCCATCCAAAGTTATCGTTAAAAAGCTGACATGGATCCAACGTGGCACTTAGGAAAGAATGACTCCGATGTGGCGCCACCCGAGCGGCACACTGGAAAAAGAAACAAATAAAAAAATTACACCATTCATTGTTTTTTGGCGAGGAAGAATCACAAAGTGTTGTTCATCGTCTTCAAGAGCTTGGCCAAACTCCCCTAATGCTCTTGCTTTGCTGCCCACTGCTATATGGACGTCCGGTGGCGCTCGTTGATGCTTGCTCGACCACCTGCGGGCTTCGAAGATCGAGGCCAGACCCTCAAGCCAAGCTTTGAGCTCGGGCGGCCATGGTGGCCACGGGCTTAGAAGCTCGACGTTCAAAGTGCTTCGAAGCTTGGCCTCGGCGGCTTGTGACCACCTGCAAGCTTCGAAGTTCGAGGTCAAACCCTCAAGCTAAGCTTCGAGCTAGAGCGGTCATGGCGGCCACGAGTTTCGAAACTTGGCCATGGCGGTTTGCGACCACCCGCGAGCTTCAAAGGTCGAGGCCAGACAAGGTTGCTCCCACACGAAGCTTGGCCACGGCGGCTTGCCACTAATCTAGTGTTCTTGAACTTCCCACTAATCAATACGCCCAACCTGGCCCGGGTTTATCCTTATCCTGCACATTATTATAGTGTCCTCAAATGTGATTCCAAATTCATCGACGTGTCTAAGTAATGAGATTTAAAGTAATGCTAATAAGTCAGCCGTTTTTGGACAAGAAAGCAATGTTCTTCCTCGCCGGAGAAGATGATGAACAGTGATATTTTTTTATTTTTTTTTCTTTTTCCGATGTGGCGCTCACGTCGCGCTGCATTAGAGCTACTTGTCCCTAAAATTGCCACGTCAGCTTTTTAACGATTGTTTTAGACGGAATTATAACGGAGGGTAAATATGTCACGATGGGTATAATTTGGGGTTTTGTTAGTTTTTCCCTTCTTTAATGAAAATCACTTTTTTTTGTTTTTATTTTTAAGTAGATAAAATGAAATTAATTATTATATATCTATGGATACATGAGAAACTCCGTCTCCAAAAAAAACCAATAAATGAAGCAAGTGACCAAAGATAGAGCATATCCTAGAAGAAGATATATTTAATTAAATAATATCCAAACACAGCGGGTTATACATCCAAGTTATCCATGTAGAGTAAGGTGACGCGTTCAATGACAGAAAATATTTTCTGCGCGAGACGAAGCTCCATTTGCTTCATGGACAATCGCCAATTTGGAAGACTTTTCTATTTCGATAACTTATAGAATTTAAGAAAACGAGTCCAAATGTATCTTATGAGTCAACAAAATTCTATGTGAAAACATTGTTACTGATATATTGAAAATATTTTGTTGATTGCTCATTTTTTCTAATATATAAACGATAGAAATTGTGAAAATATTTTCAGCTTGCTGGTTTTACATGAATTATGAATACTACTAATTCAATGCATGTGTCAGTATCCAATATATTATAAATGATTAAAGGAAGGGAAAATTATTTAAAAAGTCATATACCTAATGTATGGCGGTTAATTCAGTCCTAAAATTTTTAATTGTTAGAATTTAGTCCTAAACTTTTTGAGGATTTACCAATTTAATCCTAAACATTTTAATAAATTGGCATGGTCGGCGCTGACGGGGCTACCAGCCACTGTTCAAGGGCCAGTGACCTTTGCCGGCCACTAGGCAAGGGCCGGCGACCCCCGCCGGCCCTAGGGCAAGGGCGTCGCAGCCCTCACTAGACCTAGGGAGGCGAGGGCGTCGCGACCCTCGCCCGCCCTCACTGTGGCCAGTGAGGGTTCGCGACGCCTTTATCGGGTCGAGATCCGACCAAAGTTTTTCCCTCGAATCAGACCCCTCTTCAACCATAGCAAGCTTTAGTATGCATCACACTTTTAGTTACAATTATAGTCCATATCATAAACAAACAAAAAAAAGAAAAGCCTTGAATGTAGGACTGGAAAAGGCCGGCCCAACGGTAATGTTTAATCTAATCGAAATAGCCAGGAAGAAGGAGAATAAGGTGCCAAGACCTAAGCAACAAACCCTGCATTAGTCAATCTTACATTTCACTAATCTAAGACGAGACTAAATAATACTAAATGTTTGAATACTTTTTATCTTTTTAATGAGGCCGGCCATATATGTCATTGTCTGAAAAGTGAAATCGAATCATTAGATGAGGAGAGTTTAGAAAACATCGATCTTAGTAGCTTGTCTAGTATTGGTTGAGTTAATCTGCTCTCTAAAGACCTCATCAAATCAAATCGTATGTTGACCAAATTAATTATCATCACCTTTGTCGTCCTCTACAAAGAGCCCATTTAGTTCAACAACATTCTCCATGCCCAAAACAAGTACTGGGTGTCTATGCTCTTCCAATCGTCTTCCATGCAATCCCATGCGGTGGAGTACTCGGTAACGAACAACGCCGGCGACGCTCCCGGTGGCATGCATTTCACTGAGGAGATCGGGATCCCGCACAGCCAGCAGATGCTGACCATGTCAACCGATTTCATATGGAAGATCTTCCAACAGAACGATCCAGCAGATCGAAAGGACGTTGCTCGAGTGAGCTTGTTCATCGACAACATGGAGGGTGTGGCGTACACGAGCAACGACGAGATCCACGTGAGCACCATGTACCTCGGGGGCTTATCGGGGGACGTGAAGGGGGAGTTCACAGGGGTCCTGTACCACGAGATGACGCACGTGTGGCAGTGGAACGGGGCCGGGCAAGGCCCGGGCTGGCTCATCGAGGGGATTGCGGATTTTGTGAGGCTCCGATCAGGGTACGTGCCAGGCCATTGGGTGCAACCGGGCCAGGGCGATAGGTGGGACCAGGGTTACGACGTCACGGCACGGTTTCTTGACTATTGCAATGACCTCAGAAATGGGTTCGTGGCTGAGCTGAACAAGAAGATGAGGACTGGTTATAGTGATAAGTACTTTGTCGACCTTCTGGGCAATACCGTTGACCAGCTGTGGAGCCAATACAAGGCTACATATGCTAGCTGACTGGAGTCCATACTTGGTCGATATATGTATCTGATCTATAGAAAGCATAGTTGAGCGAAAAGGATATGTCAGTGGCAGTAGTAGACAAAGATGATGCAATAATGTTATTGGTAATTTTCCTAAGTTCTTGCATTTGTTTTACCCATAAAGTGCTAAGTAAGACAAACGCTAGCTTGTCGTGGTATTTTGAAGCCAAGTCCTATCATCCGATTTTTCTTCTTTGCTATAATTTATTATCATATTTTCTTTTTCTTTGTTTGATTAAAATCACTTTTTTCGTTTTTTATTAAGAAGATAGTGTTAAATTACTTATCATATATACTGTAAAACATGAGAAATTTTCAGCCTACAAAGACCGAAAATACGGCAAGTGAGAGCGGGACTTGGCTCTTGTAAGCAATTGGAAGCATGTCTTAGAAGAAGAGATTTTCAATTAGACAATATCCAAAGTACAACCTGTTATACGTCCAGATCATGCATGTAAAGTACGGTGATGCGGTCATTGACAGAAATAAACCGAGCTCCATCAGTTTCATGAAAAATCATCAATCTGAAAACGAGTTTTTTCTAATTTTCGTAAGTTATATCGTTCAAGAAAATGAGTCGATGGAAAATGTCTTATTAATTAACAAAATTCAATGTCTAAACATATTTACGAACATATTGGAAATATTTTGTGATTACTCATTTTCCTATGATATACAAATGATTAAAACTAGGAAAATAATTTAAACAATTTTTCACGAAATAAATGGAGCAAGTTCGGAGTTTCTCCTTCAGATTAAGCTCCTCATTTGGCTTTGTTATAGTGGTTCAAAGACCAATTCCAAATTCTATCACTAAGACTCCGTTTGTTTCGCAGAGAATATGACATTTTTTGAAAAATGTCATACGGGAAGTCATTTTGTAAGAAAATAATAATGTTTTTCGATGTTTGACTGAGACTTGAAAATGAGCTGGACCTAGGTCTGAGCACACCTGGTCCCTTGCGCACGGACTTGGGTCCATCGAGGTTGGCCCCAAAACCTTGGCACCCATGCTCGAGCCTATCAAGGCTAGGCCCTAGTCCCCGACGCCCAGGCCTCAGCCCGGCATCGATGGACCAAGGCGAAAGCATAGGGATCCCGGGCACAAGAGTCCTGGGCCTGGCCTCGATGGATCCAGGCTCGAAAATCAGGGACTTGGGCATGTGCACTAGGGTTCGGAGCCTGAGTGAGGTGGCTAGGGTCTAGGGCGTAGTGTAGATGGACCTAGGTCAGGGCTGGGGCCTGAGCGTCGGGGACTCGGTCCCACTGCCAAGGTTCTAGGAACGAGCGTTGGGATTCCTATGCCCAAGCACTAAGATTTTGGTCAAAGTGCTGATACCTAGTTATATTTTGAAAAATGAATTCTGATTTTTTAACGAGGAAATCATTGTACTAAATGTAAGTTTTGGTAGGAAAACATTTTCGATTGACTCATTTCCTAAGCGATCCAAACACGGGAAATGAGGAAAAAAATTTTCGCGAAGGCTTTGATATTTCGCGAAAAATGAATAATTTGGATAATATTTTTCCCAAAATAATCGCATGTATCGTTAGAAAGAATTAACCAATGAAAACGGTTTTTATTATTGACAATTGTTTATGTCTAAACATTTCTGTTGATAATAAAGTATATTTCGTTTATTTATTTTTCAAGCGATATAAATAATTATTTTCATATAATTATTTTTAAAATTATTTATATTTCGCGAAACTTACGAGTCTAATCCAGACAACCCCACAATTTTCCACAATAAATTATGGTCGGCGAAAGGACAGGTCCAAATTCAAATTCAACGAAGACTTGTCCCATTTGTCCACATGCATAGCTTTGGTTGTCTTCCGCTTTCCTCCTGCACTCTCTTTTCCCTGCTTTGACCTATTCCCTCTAGACAAACCGATACGTACAGGATAAGGTGAGAAGCACCTTCATTTGATCCAGTCATCGATCAGACCTCTAAAAACTGGTGGGCTCATACTATTCAACAGAAACGAACGTGTCGAATATATCAACCAACCACAGAGCGACGCTAGATGACAACTTTACATTCAAACTTAAATTTGGCCTTCCCACGGCACATTATGTGAAATCCATGCCTACGTTAGAGACGAAAAAACGTGAAACCGAAAGAAATTTCATGGAGGTCGAAGGATATTGCGTAGTCATTCTTCTTTCAAACTCAATTAGGAGAAAAATTCGCATAGATCCACTTCGTGACAAATCGGGTGGAGTATAACCATTGATCCCCACATGAGTTCCATGTACATATCTCGAAATCTAACAATTAACGACTGTATCCATTTTAAAAAACTCGGGTTCTCGATCGAGAACCATCTTCTTTTTCACTAATCAAGAGACAGAGACAAATTAATACTGAGTGACTACTTCGTCTTTTTAACGAGATCCAACATATATCTCACTCATTGAAAAGTTAGGTCATATCATTAGATTAAAAGAAATCACGAAATATCTTGTTATTGGCTAGTCTAGTGTCGGTCGAGGTAATCTGGTCTAAAAAGTCTTCGTCAAACTATAGTAAAGCGACGACTAATCCACTACCACGAAATTATATGTTTGAACGTTTCAACGGGCCGGCCAAATTAATTATCATCACCTTTATCATCCTCTATAAATAGCCCAATTTGTTCAACACCATTCTCCAAGCACAGATAATTCTCCAAATCCTAAACCATGTCTATGCTCTTCCTTGCTACGCTCCTGATCCTATCATGTTCCACGCAATCCCACGCGGTGGAGTACACCGTGGCAAACAATGCCGGCAACACTCCCGGCGGCGTCCGTTTCACTAACGAGATCGGGATCCAATACAGCCAGCAGACGATGACCGAATCGACTGATTTCATATGGAGGACATTCCAACAGAACGATCCCGCAGACCGAAAAGACGTTGCCAAAGTGAGCTTGTTCATCGACAACATGGACGGCGTGGCGTACACGAGCAACAACGAGATCCACGTGAGCGCAACGTACCTCGGGGGCTTCTCCGGGGACGTGAAGGGAGAGTTCGCAGGGGTCCTGTACCACGAGATGACGCACGTGTGGCAGTGGAACGGGGCTGGCCAGGCCCCAGGCGGGCTCATCGAGGGGATCGCAGATTTCGTGAGGCTCCGGTCGGGTTACGTGCCCGGCCACTGGGTGCAGCCAGGCCAGGGCGATAAATGGGATCAGGGTTACGACGTCACGGCGCGCTTTCTTGACTATTGCAATGGCCTAAAAAATGGGTTCGTGGCTGAGCTGAACAAGAAGATGAGGACTGGTTATAGTGACAACTACTTTGTCGACCTGCTGGGCAAGACCGTTGACCAGCTGTGGAGTGAATACAAGGCTAAATACGCTACCTAGCTTGAGTCCATGCCTGGTCGATAGATGTATGCGTTTAATAAAACGCATGGTTAACAATGGCATTATTAAATAAAACATAAACAAATCAACTTCGGATTATCTGCAATTTACTCTAATTTGTGTCTACTTCTATTCGTTCGTGCAAATGTCCGAACGACAAGTTTCTCTACCTGCCCGATGGCATTCCACCTGGTTCATTTGGGCCTGCCCGTTGATTGTATGGGCTCCACCTGAGTTTCATATGATCCGATTATCAGTATCCATTGCGGTGTTTTTAAATCTCGACCAGTCAAAAATCCTATTGAACTTCTAGTTCATGAATCAATTGATTCAACCAATTCAACCACCAGGTTGATGATTTGCACAATTTGCAACCAAATCATCTCATATATCTATACTATTCTTTAAGGGAGAGACTACTCGTTTGGTCTCTCAACCTAAATTACCTAAAAATCAAAACATATAATGGTAACTTGAATAAATTCAAATGAATCCATGGGCTTTCGTCATCATTTAGCCCGATCGAGTAAGAATTTACATATTATTCCAAAGTCAATAACGCTTCATTCGCAATGTCGTAATTTACTACTAGAACCATTCACAAAGCAACTTGAGAAAACCAGAACTTCCAAAAGGAGAATTCCCAAATTTGACTGTCATCTCACAGTCGATTTCATAATGTTCACATCAACAAAACATGATTCGTAGGCCTTCCATGCGCAACCCTGAGCGTGAACACAGGAAGACAAAGGGGCCGGGAAGAGAGACCGCAGGGACTCGGAGAGTGTTTGCGTAATTTCTGTGCCGATAGCCAGGACAGATGATCTTTAACATCTTTCTGTTCTCTGCATTCCGCAGCTGCTTAGGACAACGGGCGTTCATCAGCTTGATCTGAGAAGGTACTGACCTACTTCTTTTCTGGCTGTCGAAATTTCGTATCTGAAGCAGCCGACCTATGGCCCTTTGCTTTTCCTCAGTAAATTAGGAACCGACCTTTTCGATTTCATGCGCAACAACCATTTAGGGTGCGACGGCTTTCTTACTGGGATTACAGGTGAGCTCATGAGCTTGGAGCCAGCTTAATTCCTGAATTTTTAGCTGAGTAATGTTACGGGTCTAAATAGTAATGTCAAGCTGATGCTCATAATTGCCCTAATTCTTGCTCAGTGTTTTGGACTGATTTCCTTCTCTTTTCCATCAATTGCTGTGGCCCCAAGTTCAACCATTTACTTTAGAGGTGCTTTGATTACTGTTGTGGAAGCCAAGCGATCGAACAATAAAATTAACAAAATAAGAAAATAAATCGGACAACAGATTTACGTGATTTGGTCGTAGTGACCTACGTCCACGGGGAGAGCAGCACGGAATTCCACTATAGATCAAGCGATACAACGGAGATTACAACCACACTCGAGTCACTCAAACACTCTAAGTATTTTCCAAGCCCCAATTACACCCAATAACTCACGCAGTGGGGCTGAATGTAATTTGCCGAAGAAAGACCCACGAAACTCTCTGCCAAGCACTCTATTTCGGCGCTTCAAGTCTTCTTCTTGACCTCACGGAGCAACCCACAATATATATATATAGCTCGTATGGCCACCGCCTCTTTTGTGACCGACTCCAGTAGCATCTGATTTCCTTTTTCTTTTCTCTCATGCAATTGGCCGCACGTATTGGACAAAGAAACAAAATCCCAGTGAGAAATTCGGTCAACAAGTCAACTTTCCACTT